CTTCAACTCCCAGAATTCCCCAGCCAGCAAAGCTGGCTGGGGAATTCTGGGAGTTGAAGTCCTCCAGGCTTAAAGTTGCCAAGGTTGGACAGCCCTGATTTAGTGACTGTTCAAAGTCACAGTGGCGCTAAAAAAAGTGACTTATGACTGTTTTTCACACAACCATTGCAGCATCCCCATGGTTATATGGTCTAAATTCAGACACTTGGCAATTGACTCATATTTTTGACAGTTGCAGGGTCCTGGGGTCCTGCGATCCCCTTTGGTGACCTTCTGACAAAGTCAGTGGGGAAGCTAGATTCACTTAACAACTGGTGTTGCTAATTTAACATCTGCAATGATTCACTTAACTGCTGTGGCAAGAAAGGTCATAAAATGGAGCAAAACTCATTCAACAAATGTCTGACTTAGCCACAGAAATGTTGGGCTCTGTTGTGGTCGTAGGTCGAGGATCACCTGTAAATATAATCCAGTTTTTATTCCAAGCTGCGTATTTCAAAGACGTGGGCATCTGGTTTACTGTGTTTGAACCAAGCCCCATCTATAAACAAAGACTTGTCTCCTCTTCTGCGTCCTGGAAGGACTCCAGGAAAAAACAGGGTGCTGATCTGTCACTGATGGACACATCTTTGTTTTTATATATGATATAAAGAGCCTACCTAAGCTTGCTATTCCTCCCACATGCAGATCAGTTCAACAGTGGCTGGACACGTAAAAACCATCATTGCAAGCTATGGAACAAATGCATCCCTTTCAGATCATGGTGACAGCTGGGATTTTGTGCAGGAGCAGGTAAGCTGTCTTCCTGTTAGTAATGTTAGTTTTTTATCCTTTAGCTCCTTTGATGTGATTCTTTGGGAACATATTTGGCCATTCACAGAGCGACTCATTTTTAAGCCATAAGGGGGTTTGTTTGGATTTAGCTTAGAGTGCTGGTTGGAGTTATGGCTTGAAAGTCATGATATATGAAATTCTAAAAATTCTGGTTGATTTGATGAATGCAGCCATAGACATGATCTGCAACTGAGCTTAGTTTATTCATCAAGTATGGCTATGATGTCATATTTACTTTTATTCATTGCATATATATGCAATGCCATGATGGCACAGTGGTTAAAATGCAGTATTGCAGGCTAATTCAGCTCACTTGCCAGGAGGTCAGTCCTCACCGGTTCAAGGTAGACTCGGTCTGCCATCTTTCTGAGATCGGTAAAATGAGGATCCAGATTGTTGGGGGCAATATGTTGACTCTGTAAACTGCTTAGAGAGGGCTATTATGCACTGTGAAGTGTAGATACAGTAAGTCTAAACTCTAAAACTCTAAAACACTACTATTACTGTTAATCTTATCACTCCTTATCACCCATCCTCTCCCACTTGTGATTGTAGGACTGTAACTTTGTTGCTTGTATCCTTACGATTTATATTGACTGTTTCCTAGATTGATTTGCTTGTTGATTGTACCACTATCATTGTTGTACGTTATGATTCTTGATTCTTAACGAATGTATCTTTTCTTTATGTATACTGAGAGTATTTACACCGACAAATTCCTTGTGTATCCAATCACACTTGGCCAATAAAGTATTCTATTCTATTCTATTCTATTCTATTCTATTCTATTCTATTCTATGTGCTATTGCTAAACAGCTTGCTTTTCCTCTATATTGGAGCTCAAGTTGTCATAGATAAGAGCCCTTGTTCTCAACTTTGGCAGCTTGATCTGTGGACTTCAACTCCCAGAATGCCCCAGCCAGCATGTTCATTTAGGAGTTCTGGGAGTTGAACTCCACACATCTTTAAGTTGCCAAAGTTGGGAAACATTGGATAAGAGATTTTATGGAGTCTCCCATTTAGGCATGGACCATGTTCTTATCAGCAAAGTTGTGCCAACTTTGTGCTGGATCTTTTCCTCTAGTATAGTTTTTTCTGTTGCAGGGTTAACATGCAATACCTTTCTTAAATTGCACGATACTCAGACAGGAAAGTTTTGTCTCTCCAGCCATCTTCTCTTTCTCACTGTTTTCCATCCCCTCCCTTGTTCTTAGTTCCAATGCTGTGGCTGGACAGGCTGGACAGACTGGATGGAAAACAGCAGAGTCAGAAATGCCTCAAAGAAAGAATTTCCCTGCTCCTGTGGTAACACCTCTGCTCTGCACTCAGCCAACAACAGAACAACTGCCAAGCCGGCCCTCTTTTGCCAAGCAGAGCCACAATTGCTAATCAACAATAAAGTGAGTAGCCCACGCATTGTTCTTGGGCTGAGGGTGTGCACAGTGCAGTCCAACCCCTATGGGTACTTGTGGTGATAGTTATATTTCTCTGTTGATATAAAACGATTTTTAAAAACCTGACCCAAATCCTGCAGGGAAAAAAAGTCACGAAATGCCAGCATTCTCTGTGCCCACTGATATTTGTATCCAGAAATGTTTAGGCAATTGTTTAAGAGGGGCAGGGAGGCCTACATGCGATTATATGACAGTGTGAAAAGGTTGCCAGTTCCTGCTCATTGGAGAGAGGAAGAGGGAGAATTTGTGCACCAAATATTAAGCTTGCCACATTCATTCTCCTGTTTAGCTACTGAAAAGAGATGACTTAAGGCAGGGGTCCCCAACCCCTGAGTTGTGGATCGGCACTGGGCCAGAGCATGCCAGAAACAGGGCCATGCAAACAAGCGAAGCCCCATCTGCAGGATTCAAGTAGCATGAGAAAGATCTCTCCGGAAAAACCTCTCTCCATTGAACCAGCTCCTGGTACCCAAAAGGTTGGGGGCTATTGACTTAAGAGACAGATGGGTGTGGCAGATTTCTGTAAAATAAAAAAAGAAATAGGAAGGAAAGCACACGTGGAACAGCTTATTCCAATGTATTTGGGAGATGCCAAATGGAGGGAAATTGTAATAGATCATGTAGAGCCCTCAACCAAAAAACAGTGGTGCATGTCGATTGGTTGATTCCAATTTTGAGATTGCCCTACTCCTTGTCAACTGACTGGTTTACAAATAAACAAAACATAGAAAACATGGCAAGCAAGAAGACCAAAACTAAGCTAGATTAAAAGATGCTTCCAACCACCCACTCCCAAGGCCTGGGTGAACATCCACGTTTTCAGTAATTTCTGGAACATCATAACAGCTTTTGCCCAGTTTGGCACTTTCTAGGCAGGAGATCGATATGATTGTAGCAAAAAATGGGACGGTTCAGAAGAAAAAAAGGAATTTCCACCCCCTGTCCTATCCACTTTTTTCCACGCATTGATTTCCACATCACTGTGCGCCTTGTCTTACTTTTCCCAACCACTAACCTACTTGCAAAAAGGAATTGTACAGAAGAGGATTACACACTATTTGAGCCTCCCCACAATTGGTGTATCCTTTTGATGGAAGTATTTATTTCTGAATAGCATGCATTTCTGTTTTAAAAAATGGTATAATAAAATGAGAGGCAGTCGCACATGATAGCATTATTTAAAAAGGAACAAAAGACTACTGAGAACAAAGCATCTAGCCACAGCCCAGAATGTGGGTTCTAGCTTATAGTGAAAGCCAAGTCTTACAGCTTCCCTAACCCATAACAAGGTGGGGCAAATCAGATCTTGGGGTTAGGTTATTCCAAAGAAGAATGGCTGCAACAGAGAAGTCTCTTCATCTTGGGTTTTGTAAACAAACTCCTTAAGGGAAATGGCTTGGAGTGAATCTCCCCTCAATCTGTTTGGATATGGATACAAGCTACTGGGGCAAGTTGGTCTTGTAAATATGTAGGCTCTTAGCCATAGAGGTATTAATTTCAGCCTCTTTCTGCTGAGTCCTTAAAATGAACCACCAGTTGGTGTCGGAGTGATGAAAGGAAATAGGTATTCATACATTGCAAAAGTAATTTGTGGGACTCAACACGTCTTGATATGGAGAAGGACGGTGCTATATGTGTGCTTCTGAATGTTAGTAAGCCGGGTTCGTAAAGAACTAGCAAAGGCAAAGTTAGGGCCAGAGTGCAGAAAACAAAGGTGGAGTGTTCTTTTCTGATTTTTTTGGGGTGAATTTTTTGGCTATATCTGATGGGCTGCAATGTGGGAGCGAGTGAAATGTGCCTCATAATTGATCTGACAAGGGTTGTCCTTGGAATTCCACCTGATGCTCCTTTCTAATCTACCTTTGTCCATTTGCAGGGCTGCAGGGAGAGTGTCCAAGTCTGGCTGAACAATAACATCATCAGCATTGTAGGGATCTGCCTTGGGATTGCTCTTCTAGAGGTAAGTGCTCCTGAAGGACAATACAGCTACGTTTCTATCAATGGCGCAGAAATGGTACAGGGAGGTGCAAATATTGATAGGTTTGGAGACCTCCAAAAAACAAAATTATTCAGTTTATACCACCTTGCGTGGTGTTTACTTTCAGGACTGTCCAAAGACATTTTATAATCTTTTCCCCATCAATCCCAACTATATCAAGATATGAAGCACTGAAGTGCAATTGGGTCTTGTAGGTAGAAACTCCCTTATAGCCACTTCGTCCTCTGGAATATTAAGCTAAATATTTAAGTATTTGTTGCTGTTTCATGGTATTCAGTTTTGGGTGTTTGAGATCTAATTTTTTTAAAGTGTCCAATGGTCATAGCTCCCTGGATAGTTTCCTGTTGGATGATGGAATGATCCAAACCTGGTTTTCTTCTGCCCAGCTAAAGTGCCATTATATTTCTGCTGTCAGTGCTATTATTCAAATCATGTATTGCCCAGTGTTGTCCCTACCAGTCTACTCATTTGGAGCGGTAGGGATTGCTGGTGGACACCCAAAATGTTTACATGTGCTTGATTGTGAGTGCATTATGTGATAAAGAATTGAGGTCTTTATTTCTTCATCCTGGATCTTTCTTGTAGTTACTGCAGCTGCTGTGCATGTTGCTGGTCACTGCATTAGAACACAAGGACCTGCATAGTGGTGGCTCCCAGGAGATCCCTAACAGGTGGCTAAAGGGAGTGCATAGATGTTTCCAGCTTTCTGCCATGCCTTGTTATTTGTGTCTTCCTATGTTGGGAAGGATGTGATTTCTTCTCTGCATGTCCTCTGACCTGTGTGACTCATGTGTGCAGTGCAGGGATTACTTCTTGGGTGGAAGTATTGGCCAGAAAAGCTGCTGTCATCCCCAAATCATGCCATGGTGCCATGCTTGTGTATTTGCAAGGAAGATGCTTAACAAGACCTGGGCTACTGAGAGATCCCATATGAAATCCCTGTGAATTCATCTAGGCAGTTTCCTCCATCTGGTGTTCTTCACATCTGCTGGATCATAATGTAGAATAGTGTTGTAATTTTAGAAGTATGATTTAGGCCAGAAAGACTTGGGAGCCGTGATGGCACAGTGGTTGGAATGTAGTATTGCAGGCTAATTCTGCTGACTGCCGGAGTTTGATTGTGACTGACTCAAGGTTGACTCAGCCTTCCATTTTTCCGAGGTTGGTAAAATGACGACTCAGATGGTTGGGGGAAATAGGGTGACTTTGTAAACTCCTGAGAGAGGACTGTAAAGCAGTATATAAGTCTTAAGCGTTATTGCTATTGCTATCAAGTTTATTCCAATTGTATAGTTTATTGGCTAATGTTGGGCCATTCACTTTTTCAGCCCAAACTTAGAGAATGGTTATTTGTTAACATAAAAGGAGACCCTGTGTAGAGCTGCCTTGAGCTCTCGCACAAACAATGCAAGAGATAACAATTCCCATCACCCCAAGCCAGCACAGCCAATAGTTGCTGAGGATGATAGCCAATGTTGTCCAACACAATAGGAAGAAGCAATAAATAGCTTGTGTGGTGATTATCTTTCTGGGAATCTGTTCTCCTTGCTGACTTTCTGAATTGGCTGGAAGATAATAGATTTTGTGTGTGTGTGGGTGGGTGTAGGTTAAGAGTAGTTTGCTTTGGAAGATTACAAATGATTGTGTACTTCCATTTTTTTGTTAAAGAAAAGCAAACACAGCTGTTTGTGCTGTTCTGTAAGGTTTTTAATAAATTGGATTTTAGAGGAAGAGCTAAAAGAGGAACAAAATATGGTATTCCCCAGTGAGAATCACATAGATTTGGAAAACCCATGAAATTAATCTATTCTCTGATGCAGATCTAAATTTAGAAATCAGTTCTTTTCCAAAGTTCCTGTAATGAATTCTTCTTTCATTATTCCTTCTGTCTGCACATTAAATCCCATCCAAGAAGAGCTTTTAACCTTTGGCCCTTTTGGGGTAAGCCCTGCCTGTAGTTGCAGCCCAAACACCTAGCTGCTCCAGTGTGCTTTTGATATGCTGACTGCTGGGTATATGCATCATACGCCTGCTGTGTTTCTCAACAGCTACACACCCTACTCTTGGCCTAGGTCTGGGCATGTCTGAAAAGCTGAAGTGTTGATTTGCTTCCCAAAGTGATGCATGAGCCCCTGGGTTATGTTTGTACTACTTCTTAATTCTCCCTCAATTCTGAAGCCAATTTCCATGAGGGTGAAGGTTCGTTCTCTGAGCTTGTGGGCTGGTTTCTGAACGTTTCATTAGCAGATTAGGTAACATCTTCAGCAGAGTTTAGGGGATGTCATTGTCGGTGTTCTTCTGTTTATAAGGACTTTCTGTGGTCAGTAACTCTTGTAATAAGTCAGGTGTGGATGAGTCTTTTAGGGATCTTGGGATGGGTCACTGATGAGTCATTGGAGAGTCTTTTGAAGAATCTTGTGATGGGGAGGTTACATCAGGTGAGGGTCATGGGGAGGTTAACTGCTGGTAGGGGGGGTTGCGTGGGTTGGTTAAGAGTTGGTGCCGCCTCTGATTGTGCAGTTGATTTGGATTCTGAAGGGTGCGTAGACTGGTTGCACATCCATGTGTCTGTTGATGGAATTGCTTTTGGAGTGGCAGGCTTTGATGAACTCACGAATGTAGCGGGTGGTAGCGTGGTGGCCAAATATTTTTGTGTTGCTCCAATTGATTGGTGCTGTTTGGTGTCGGTGTGGGTAGAGATTAAGATTGTTCTCCCACAAGCTCGGAGAACAAGCCTTCACCCACATCCTACCCACAAGCTACAGATATTCGCCACTATTGCAAACTTTTTTTATAATCGTTTCAATTATTTCACATACCTGCTGCACAGGGACATCTACTTGGAGTTTTGGCAAGGTAATTCATTCCAGGGCATTGTCAGGCCTGAATGTTCCTTTAGTACAGATGTGTCAATGTCCAAATGTCAATGCTTTGTTTTCCTCACCTCATAACCTCCTTTGCAGGTTATTGTCTTGCTTGCATCTTGCGCTGTTGCAAAAAGAGCTTTACTGCCCCCCCCCCCCCCCAGGGCCAAAATGAAGCATAGCATGCCAGAAGGCCCAAGAATTGCAGGGGCTGCAGTTACTTGAGCTCCAATAAGAACTGGGGAAGGCAAATGTAGCAAATAATTAAAAAAAAAAACACAAGATGCTACAGGGCAGAGACTCATCCCTTTTTTAGCATTGATAGTCATCTTCCTTCCTTTCGGCAAGGTATTCTATGAGTCATTCTGATCTCCATAGCTTCTTTCCAACTTGTGTATTTATTTTCCCTGTGGTGGATTATATTTCAAGAATTCCACAGTCAGCCTGACCATTGCTGATCCATGTGCCTGGAGAGCATCCAGATAAGGGAAATAGCTTCAAGGATAATGGGGATTGTACACATGAAAAGTACTTGGTTGGGTTCAGTAAAGATTCAGAGATAGCTACTGTATTTATGAGTTGTAATTTGAGGCCTTAGGCTTAGACACAGAGTGGACAACTATGGCTTCTTTACAACCTGTGGGCTTCAACTTATGGCTAGTTCTGGGAATTGAAGTCCACAAGTTGTGAAGGGGCCATCCCAATGTCCAACCTTCCCAACGGCCAGAAATCTGAAGCAGAAATATTGGAGGTTAAAGTCCAACACATCTCAACACAACAAATTGAGAATCTTATTTAATCTTATTTTTAAATTGCTTTACAAACTATCCCAAACATGGAGTTTAGCTTTTTTTATGATCAATGTGTGATTACTGTTTCTTTTACTAAAATCTCTCTTTTTCCCCACAGCTCTTCCTCATGATGGTATCGATGTTTCTGTGTAGAACCATTGGCCCCAATTACGACAAGCTTGCTCGTTATTCCTAGGCAAACAAAGTTTTGGGGGAAACGGCATTGAAGAACATTCTGTCTTATTCAGACATTCCACTAGGGTTTTAAAACAGTATATTGTAGGGCTGCGGTTGTGTTCAGCAAGTTTACTATCTAACTTTCTTGTCCTAATTGATCCAGTCTTGGAAACTGAGATGAAACTTTCAAGAATCAGAGCAACCAATAAGAAAACAGAGTATTATGAAACAGGTTTTTACCTTCACTTTGCTAAAGATAATTTAGCTTTTAGATGTCCTCCAAAAATTATAGCCGTATCGGCTTTTGGCTTTACATTAAATCCCTACAATAAGATTTATATGTTTTTATATTGCATTGTCCTGGAATGCACAGATTTTAACAGCCATGCCCTGATCTACTTTTGCATGAGGAGAACTATTTAACCATAAATCACTTATTGCTAGGACACATCAAATACAACCTGGGAAAAATTATTTGTTAAGAGTGTATACATATTACACATTCAACACTGCCCCCAAATCTTTAATACAGCTATTTTAGACCTAAAGCTAAAAAATTACTTTAAAAAAAGAAAAGAAAAATTCACAGCATATTATTTAGTCAACAATTCAGGTTGTGAATTAACAGTGGGGTTGGCCCACCTGATTGGACCCAAAGTTTCATTCTTACTACTATTGAGGTATGATCTATGCAGCCAGACTTCAAACATTCTCAACTATGCACTCGGTGCACAATTATTAGGCAAGTTGTACTTTGGAGGATTAATTCCATTATTGAACAATTACAGGGCTCTCGGTCAATCCAAAATGTTAATAAACCTCAAACCTGAACATTTAAGAAAGTGAGGTTTTGGCTTTCTTAGGATAATATCTGTGCATGCACAATTATTGGGAAACTGTGTGCAGAACTATTGTGCAACCAAATGAAAAACAAAAATTTGCCCATCTCACTCTTTTGTTTGTATCTGTTAAAGTGAGACCAATTAACTCAAAATGTACAAGTAAACATTTCTGACATTTCACACATACACAAAAGAAAATCAGTGACCAATATAGCCACCCTTCTTTTCAGTAACAGTCATAAGCCTTCCATTCATGGAGTCTGTCAGTTTCTTGATCTGTTGACGATCAACTTTTTGGGCAGCAGCAACCACAGTCTCCCAGACACCATTCAGAGTGGTGTACTGTTTTCCTTCACCGTAAATCTCCCATTTAGGAAGGGTCCACTAGTTCTCAATAGGGTGTAGGTCAGGTGAGGAAGGGGAGGGCATGTCTTTATTCTTTCATCTTTAAGGCCTTTACTGGATAGCCACCCAGTGGAGTACTTCGATGCATGCAATTGAGCATTGTCCTGCATAAAAATCATGATCTTCTTGAAAAACGCAGACTTTTTCCTGTAGTACAGCTTGAAGAAAGTCTCTTCTAAAATCTGGCAGTAGGTTTGGGATTTGATTTTGAGTCCATTTTTAAGCTGAAAAGGTCCAACTAGCTCATCTTTAATAATACCAGCCCATACCAGTATCCCATCTCCACCTTGCTGTTGTCTGAGTCTTAAGTGGAGCTCTGTACCCATTACTGATCCAGCCGCGGGCCCATCCATCTGGTCCGTCAAGTCACTCTCATCAGTCCATAAAACCTTTGAAAAATCTTCAGAGATTTCTTGGCCCAGTCTTGCCATTTCAACTTATGTGTCTTGTTCAGTGGTGATCAGCCTTCCTTAGCTTGGTCATGTCTCTGAGCACTGAACATCTTGTCCTTCTGGGCACTCCAGATAGAGGTTGCAGTTCTGGAATATGACAGCACTGGAGGATAATGGGTTCCTGGTGGCTTCACATTTGATTCTTCTCAAATCTTTGGCAGTTAACGTGCGTCTTTTTTCCCCTCAACATCTTTCTTCCGAACCTGTTGACTATTTGCAACAAAACGTTTGATGGTTCTGCGATCACGTCCCAATACCTTAGTAATTTTGAGAGTGCTGCATCCCTCTGAAAGACCTTTTTTTTTTTTTTTTTACAATTTTTGACTTTTCAAATGTCCTTTTTTGGCCCGTTTTGCCTGAGGAAAAGAAGCTGCCTAATAATTATGCACACCTTGATATAGGATGTTGATCTCCTTAGGCCACACTGTCCCTCATTACACAAATACACATCACCTGATATGCTTATATCCACTAAGCATTCAAGTTTATACAGCTTGGGAGGTGGAAAATAAGCATAAAAATGGTATGGTCAAAATACTCATTTGCCTAATAATTGTGCACAGTGTATATAGGATATAACCAAACTTTTCATGTTCTATGCTACCCCAGGCATGTACTTTCGTATTTAGCCTTTTATACCACAATCTTTTCTTGATTTTGTTGAATTAACCCATGTTGAAAACGGCTCAGTTAAGAGGGCTGCATTTCTCCCTTATGTGTGGACTAACCTGTTCCATCACAAGCCTTTTCTTTTTGTGGGATAAAAGGGATGAGGGACCTGAAATCCATCTGATATTGTTAGTTGGTGGCTCCTAATTGTCGCAGCCTTTACAGAGAGTGGTAAGGAATGTTGAATGACAAGTTCCACAGCACTGAATCTGCAAACCTTTGGTGGAGCTCATGATCCCAGGAGCTAGTTCAGAGGCAGAGTATAACTGGTCTGGAATGAAGACAGGTCTGTTTGTACTGGGAATGCGTTGACATAGCCATTAACATTTCTGTGGATTTGGGGATGGTGCCTCTTTACTGTCCCAGCAGGTGTAAATGAAGGGGACACCTTATCTTTTAACCCCAATAATTGAACATGGTTTTGTGTTACGCCTTGCACGCTTACAACCCTGTGCAGGGCATATGAGAAAATCTCTTTTTGCTTTTTTTGTGGTATTTGTATATTCGGCTTGGATGTTTAAAACAGATGTATAAAGGGGGAAATAGTTTTGAGGAAGAGGATGCAGGTGGAATGAGGTACATATATAATTTCACCTCCTTTCTCAACTTACTGTGGTTTGTTCTTGGCAGAATTAGGCTTTTTAAAATTTTCTATTTTGTAAATAAAAATGATCCATAAAACAGTTGTGTTTGGTTCATTGAACTTGGATGAAAAATAGCTTTTAGCTATAGGTAGTGACTTAGTGACTGTTCAAAGTTGCAACGCCACTGAAATAGTGACTTATGACCATTTTTCACATTTACAACCATTGCATTGATCACATGATTTGCAGGTGCTTGACAACTGACTCACAGTTATGACGGGTTGCAGGTCCTTGGGTCATGTGATCATCTACAACCTTCTGACAAGCAAAATCAGTGGGGAAGTCAGATTTACTTAGCAACTGTGTTACTAATTTAACAACAGTGATTCACTTAAGAAATGTGAGAAAAGTCATAAAATGGGACAAAACTCACTTAACAAATGTTTTATTTAGCAGCATAAATTTTGGGCTCAATTGTGGTTGTAGGTTAAGGACTATGTGTATTTACAATAGTGACAAATATATGTAACTAGCTGGATACTCGTGCTTTGCTATGAAACTTTGTGGTCGGGCTTAGTTTTTGGGGAGGAAAATAAAGGGGGAAAAAAATCTTCCTCTGCCTACCTGCATCCATCGGTATTCATCTGGCTCGCATCCTGTCAGTGTGTAAGAGAGTTCAGGGCTGTTTGGAAACTGAAACAGTATTTGCTGTGTGAGCAAGACAGCAAGGAGCCTGGGTGTGGCTTAGGCCAACTGTTCTGTACTAAAGCTGGTTGCTGCTGTGAAACTGAAACTCCTGTTTGTGTTTTGCATTTGGAACAGATTTCTTTTTAGGTGAGGAGGGGGAGTAGAACTCCTTAGCATCAGAGCGTGTTAATAATATTATACAAAATACTAATGCTCTGATGGTCATTTCGCAAAATCCTTTCTTAGTGAGCACCTAGAAACCAAGAGGAACATACGTGCCAAATTTCTAGTTTGTAGGCTTTACGATTCTGGAGATTTTGTGATGATGCGTGAGTGATATTTTGCTTTTATATATATAGATAAGGGTGGAGGGCAAGGGTAAAGGTTCATTCCTTAAGCTTTGTGGGTTGATTTCCAAACATTTCATTGCAAAGCTAGGTAACATCTTCAGTGGAGTTTAGGGAAGCTATTTAGCTATTTCTCCCTAGAATAGAGGTACTATTGATAGAATCCCTGGTCAATTCTAAGCCACACCCCTTATTCTAGTTGATTAATCTATGCCAGGGTTGTCAAACTCGATTTCATTGAGGGCCACATCAGAGTTGTGTTTGACCTTGGGGGGGGGGGGGGGGCCAGATATGTGTGTGGCCAGCTCAATGCCACTCATCAAGGCTGGTTTTGGCCATGACAGCCTCCTGCAGCCCTCTACCAGCAAAAACAGAGTCCTCCTCAGGCTCCGTTTTTGCTGGCAGAGGGCTGCAGGAGGCCGTTGCGGCTGAAAACGGAGCCTGGGCAAGCTACGCGTGGCCCTCCCAAGCTCCGTGTTCGCTGGCAGAGGCACCACGGCTGGTCTTTTGCTGTTTCCAGGGCAATCCCATGGGCCAGATCTAAGCACCCCACCGGCCTTGAGTTTGACACCCCTGGTCTATGCTAAGTGGCTGGTTCTGAGTCATAAAGGAGCCTCCTGAGACACAACAGACTTCTGTTAAATGAATTTGGCTTCCCCATTGACTATGCTTGACATAATGTCTCAAAAGGTGACTACATGACCCCGGCACACTGCAGCTGTCATAAATATGGATCAGTTGCCCAGCACCCAAATTTTGATCACCTGACCATGGCCAACGCTACAACTGTCATGTGAAAAATGATCATAATTCACTTTTTTCACTGCCATTTTAAGTTCAAATAGCCACTGGATAAATTGTAAATTGAGAACTACCTATATATCATCCCCCTTTCCTACCAAAGAGGGGGAGAGAGAGAAGCAACTACGAATGCCAAAAAGATGATAATCATGATCATACTTTTAGCCAGATAAGGCTTATTTAGGTCAAACATGTAACAAAGCTCAGTTTACTTTTATATTTTTGTTTCATTTAAGCCTGGGATTATGTGTGAAATAGAACAAGGTGGTAATTTTGATTCCAGAGCCAAAACATAATTCCATTCATTCTCCAAAATTTGGACAGCTATTTTTTAAAATGCTTCCTTAGATATAAAACTAAGGCAGCAGAAGGCAAAAGAAAGTGGGCTTAAAAGACCACTTTTTCAGTTTCCAATTGTTAATGCTCTTGTTAATCTTTAATTACTCAGATGAGTAATATTAAAATACCTCCCACCTGAACTTCAAAGATAACACAGTTGACTACATGATCTCATGCTCATTGTGTAGATGAAGCCTGAGTTTTGCAAGGCAATATCTTTCTACAGTGTGAATTCTTATCTGCGTTTGAAATGGCATCAACATGAGCCTTAAACTCCTAGGCAGCAAAGGAGAATTGGATAACTGAGACAAGAATTTTGCTTAAGCAAGATGGTTGTTACGTGATTGACATCCAATTTTACAATCTTTTTTTGCCATGGTTGTTACATGAATCGTTATTAAGCTAATCTGTCTTGGCCTATTGACTTTGCTTGTTGGAAACCAGCTGGGAAGGTCACAAATGGCAATCACATGACTCCCAAATGCTAAAACCCTCATAAATATATGTTAGTAGCCAAGCAACCAAATGTTGATCACGTGATCATGTGGGTGCTGTGATGTCATAGGAATGGTTGTAAGTCACTTTTGAGTGCTGTTGTAACTTCAAATGGTCACTAAAAGAGTAGTTGTAAATCAAGGACTGTACCCCACTAAGGAGATTAATCCAACATGGAACAAGAATTCAAATTTGATTTAAAACTTGCGTTAAACCTTAATATCATTGCTGCCACTGTATATAACGGTCTTCAACCTGAGTCACATTAAACGCTACAGTTTGTGGTGGGCTCTTAAAAGGATCTGGGGAGACATGTGAATCAGAAGCATCAGGTTGTGCATTACTGATATAAACCTTTCCCTAGAGTCTGACATATAGAGTGTAGGAATGGGTTCACTCTTCAGCAGTTTGCAAGAATTAAGTTATAATGCACATCAAAGCCTGACTGTGTTACAAAACAGTAGTGCTAAGAAATAGCATTTATTCTTACAATGGAGTGTTAAATCCCAAGAAGTAATGACAAGGGACAATGTTCTACCAGGAGATTTAGAAAGATATGCATGGAGTTGAGATCCTCAACATGCCTGAGATGATTTGACCAAAGGAGTATTTTTCCAGTAGTACACCTGTTCAAAGGACCATCCCACCTGTAAGATGGTCTACTGAGCTATCCCATCTTTAAGATGGTCTAACTGAGCAATGGGTTCAAGCCTTTTAAAGGTTTAAACTTTGGTTTTGTGATCATCAAAGAGAGAAAAATATTTGTTAGTAAACTTAAAAGTAGATATGAATGGGGTCAGCAGCTTTTCTGGTGATTCAGCCATCAGTTCTACCATCCAGTATCATGTGATAAGAGGAAGATGGTCTAGTTGGCTGGGGTTTATTTGTTGAGCATGATGAACAGTTTCTCAGTCCCGGCCCAGCCGATAGATGTGATGCTGCGATCCCCGTTCTATTGCAGACACCTCAAACACAAAGGCCACGCACAGGAGCAATTCCTGTGTTTCTTGATCCCGCAAAACCTGTTTGGAAACGAGAATAATAGTTTTTAATGGCAGAGTTCGCTACTTGGCTCATTGAAACAAACCAACCCATATCCTGGAGCAGATGTGTTTAACCTCCTAACCCCCTTTCCAGGGAAATTAACACAATATAAAAAATGCAGGTGGTCCTTGATTTGCAACCTTTTGTTTAGTGACTATTTGAAGTTACAACGGCACCAAAAAAAAAAGTGACTTATGACCAGTTTTCACACTCACGACCATTAAAGCATCCACATGGTCAGGTGATAAAAATTTGGGTGCTTGGCAACTGGCATGTATTTATCTCAGTTGCATTATCCTGGGATCATATGATCACCTTTTGTGACTTTCTCAGATAGCTTCCGACAAGCAAAGTGAATGGAGGAAATCAGATTTGCTTAGTGACCGCATGTTTCTTAACTATGGTAAAA